ACAACACACATATTGCCTGAAAATTTCAGCCAAATCGATCCACGAATAACGAAAAACGATTCCTGAGGGGGGGGGGGGTTCCCCCTTAAGGAATAAAAAAGATCTTGCTATCCGAATGAAGAATTCGTGTTGAAAAGCAACTGAATCAAACACTGTCAAAAAAGTAACATGATTGAAAGCAATATTTGGAAACGTATTGCCAATAAATTCGAGACGATCAAATGAAAATGGAAGTGAAAAGACATGACATATGCTGCTGTTGGAGGTATTGTTTACGATACAAGCTACTTATTGATATTGTACTTTATTAAAAGTTTGTTCAATATCATTAATGGATAACTGATGAATTGAATTACCAATGTCAATTTGAGTACGAATATAAAAGCTAAATGTACGAAGTTGTGGCATATGAATGAGGATTTCATTATAAAGATATGTGCCATCTACGAATATAGCTCGATTATTAATAGAAAGATACAAAGTTAATTCTTCGAGATATAACATACGACGAAGAAGAGGTACAACTTGTGCATCATAAGCTTCAATTAAATTATATGTTAATGAGAAACACTTCAGAATAGGTAAATCATCCTAGAAAATACAAAACAATATTTATGAGAAGAAAATTTATATAAATAATTCTTTGAAAAGAGACTATGTATTTTAAATTTCTTGAATATGTTTTGTATTCTATGAAATATACGGTACTAGCCGAAGTACTCGGCGTTGCCCAGGGAAATTCAACATTTCATGTATAAGAAATTCGTAAACGGTAGCCTTATGATTTCCTATAAGTTACCTATCTTGGGTGCCGCAAAATGCACTCAAAACCCTTTCCGTTTTTAAACTATTTTTAAAGATTTTGACGTTTTTAAATTTTTGTTCTTCTTATTATTTTGTGAAACACGATTGAGAATGCGCGTTGAAATATATGACGAGAAAAGTGGACCTTTACCCTATTCCACAGATTTTCGATATACAGCTCTCAGGAGCGCAATTAAGGTTCAAAGATGTGGGGATTGTTCAGTCCGCAACCCATTTTCACGCTGGAGGCCAGTAGTCACCATAATTTGGAGAGTGGGTTAACAAAAACTTTTCCAAAAAACACAGGGAAAAAGCAAACATTTTTCGCTTATGGCGAACGAAAAACAGAAAAATTTTCAAACTTTGGGGAGGGCAGTGGGATATGCCATCCATGATATTTGCGCCGCTGACATCTCTTCGTATCTTCTAGTTGGTGTTCAACGTTGGGGGACTTGTTCACTCTAATTA